CCGACGTGTCCTTTACCAGCCCGCGCCCCTGCAGGCCCCGCTGTGCGGGTCTGGCGTCCAGGTGAGCCCCCAACCCCACGTAGCGCCGGGCGGGCCCCCAGGGCCTCCGGCACCGCCGAGCTCCCCCCAGGTTAGGCTTCTTCTGCAGCGGCCTCAGCACCCCCCGCCCCCGGAGACCCCTGGCCTGGCCGCTGCCTGCGCCTGCCAGACCGGAGGGCTGAGGCCCCGCGGCCGGCCCGCTCTGCTGACACGCGTTTTTCTTCGTAGTTTATTAGGCTTTATTTCTTAAGCGGCGTCAGGTTTATGGGGGAATCGCACAGAGAGTTCCCATCCCCTCTGCCCCCAGATCCCCCGTCACTGATGTCTTGCCCTGATGAGCGCACCATGTTGTAGCTGATAAGGCTGCACTGGTCCAGTGTCACTGACTGAAGTCCACAGTGACACTCGGGTTCACCTGCGATGTTGGGTGAACCGTGGGTTTTACTGGATGTCAAATACCCACCGCCGCACCACCTCACGGGGGTCTCACTGCCCTGAAAGGCCCCTGTTCATCCCTCCCCCGCCCCGTGACCACAGATCTGTCCACGTCTCCAGAGCGCTGCCCTTCCAGAGCGCCCCAGAGTGGGCTCACAGTGTGCAGCCTCCTCAGACCGGCTTCTCTCACTTAGTCGTGTGCACTTAGGGTTCCTCCGTGTCTTCTCGTGGCTCGATGGCCCCCTTCTTCTCTGCACCGAGTAACAGTCCAGCGTCTGGACACCCTGTGGTTTGTTTATCTGTCCTCCTACTGAGGGACAGCGTGCTTGCTTCTGAGTGTTGCCGGCTGTAGTAAAGTCCCATCAGCGATAAAATGACCAGGGTTGGGGGGGCTCCTCATATTGCACTGGGCACCAGAGGCCACGTGAAGAGAAAGGCCCAGAACCCTCCAGCAAGTCAGGTCTGGAGCGTTCAGAGTTGGGGTTCTTTCTCCGTAGAAGAGAAGACAGCCCGAGTTTCTGGGTGGAGAGACCCAAGCTGCCTGGTGGCCGGGAGAGGAGGTGGGTTGTGGGCACCGAGGGCAGCACGGGGAGCAGCAGTGACGCCCAGGCCGTTGTCCAGTAAAGCATCAGCTGCTCTGTCCCCTCGGTCCTGCGGGGATAGGGTGGGTGAGGGGGGCGGGGCGAGAACGCAGCTTGGGTTTTGGGGAAGCTGGTCATGGGCCTCCAGGGCCGAGTGGAACTCCAGGTCGAATACCCAGGACCGTCAGGAGGCGCCCCAAGCCCAGGACTGTTGCATCAGCAAGGGGCGGAGAGGTGCGCAAGCCCGGAGTCCGCCCCCGGCCTGGCTGTGTCCACTCGGGGTCCTGACCTAATGGAGCCCGGGTGCTGGGTGCAGAGTTGCACGGAGGGGCCTTGCAAGTCATCGGGGAGGGGGTGAAAATGGTGCCAACTGAGGACACTGCTCGCAACTCCAGAGCCTTGGCTGACGTCCAGCGCCTCCAGCCAGGGTCCCAGGGCCCGCTGTGCCATCCCAGCCTCCTCCCTCTCCTCCCCTTCCTGTGGCAGCCGTGCCCACACGTCCCTGACACTCCACGTCCCCCACCTCCCCCCCGAGCCTCTGTCCACCCACCCATCCCCTCAGTACCTCACAGGTGCCCCGGTGCCACTCCTCGGGGAGCAGTTTTGGAGGCTCTGAGCCTGCACGCAGTTCTTCGCGACCGACGCTGCGGGATTCCTTCTTCCCAGCATGCCATCGTTTGCGTAATGATTTCCCTATTGTTGGGCCTTTGGGGCAATTCCAGTTTTCTGCCGCTATAAATAGGGATGCTGTGTTTTCCTCCCCCGTCATGGATTGGTCCCTGGGGGTGTGTTTCTGGAACAGAATTCCTGGGTTAGAGCGGGCGCCGGCACAGGCGGGTTTGCAGAGGACGGAGCTGTTCCGCAGGGGATCGGCTCCTGCCTCGTCCCGTTATGGTGACCCAGGAAGCTGGCCGAGGGCCAGGATGCGAGTGCTGCCTGGACAGCCCATGGGGACTGGAGGGGCTCAGACACTGGAATTGGGAGAGGGACATTTGGGCTGAGAAAGGGACCCTGGTACACGAGAGGGACCGTGTGAGCCCGACCTTGGCTACGAGCCCTGCTCCAGGCAGTCAGCAGTGCAGAGTGGGCTCCCTGGTGCTCTCCAAGGGCCAGGTCCCTGACGATGGGGGTCCCCCCCTTGGACCACTCTTGGTCTCCCTGATTGACTGGCACACCGTGTATCCTGTGTAGGCTCTGGTGTGTGCGGGGCTCAGAGTAGGCACCCTGCTCCTTACTTCTTTGTTGCTTCCTGGCTGGGCTCAACCAAGCTTGAGAGGAGGGGCCCAGGGTGGAGTGGTGGGGAATGGAGCTAGCCCCAGGGCAGGCCGGTCCAGGGACCTGCCCCCAGGATGGTCAGTGTCGCTAAGGTGGCCAGATTTAGCAAATAAAAGTACAGACGACCAGTGAAATTTAAATTTCTCAGGAACACAAGTTAATTTTTAGTATATGTGGTCCATGCAATACTTACACTGAAAATTATTTGTTGTTTATCAGCAATTCCAGTTTCACTAGATGTCCTGTACTTTATCTGCCGCCCTAGCAGGAGTGTCGTTTTCTTCACAAGTTTACACGTGACCTGGGAAGCTTCTGGCTAATGCCCCAGGACCTGCTCCTTCCCCATGAGAGGACCATCCTCTGTCTCCAGGTGGAAAAATCCCCAGGCAGGCTCTGATTGGCTGGGTGGGGTAGGTGCCTGTCTCTGGACCAGTCAGGTCTCACAGGCATGCCCTCTTAAGGTGGAGTCACCCCCTTCTGGCGACAAGTGTAAAATCCCAAAGAAGGCTCTGATTGGTTGGCCAGGCTCAGGTGCCACTGCCTGGGGCAATCGCATCCCATGGGCATGCCCTCTGAAGGCAGAGCCACCTCCTCTGACTGCAAGTGGGAAATCCTGAGGAAGGTTCTGATTGGCTGGCCGTGCTCTACCACCCCTGTGGGGCAGGACTGGGTGTCCTTGATTGCCAGGCTCACCAGAACCACATGCTGGGGAGGAGCTGGGGTGCTGGGCAGACAAAGGCACAAGGGTCCCCCAGCCTGAAGCCTCAAGCTTCTCAAGGACCTGGGGTCCGCTGACCTGGGAGCTCCGCAGGGCCCGCCCCAGGCCTTGTCTGGGTGCAGGCGGGGAAGTTTGGTGAGCAGGAGCTCCTCGGTCCTCTTTTCCGAGTCTGCTCCCTTCCCCCTGGACTGGCCTGGGCAGGAGCTGCCGCATCTCAAGCAGGTTGACTTTAGTTCCTCTAAGGAGGCTAAGGAGTTCTGCTCTGGAATGTTCCAGAAGTGCCCTGTGGCCTTGGGATATTCTTGTCCCCTGGGAGCTGGACGCCTCCTCTCAGAGGGGCTGGGTAGGGGCAGCGACTTTGGGCCTGGGCCAGCAGCCTTGCTTCCTCCTGGAGGCCCCCACAGCGATTCCTCTTCCCTGGAGAGTGTTCATGCCACCCGCTGGGGAGATGCCACAGTGTCTCCCAGCTTTTATCTTGATACTTTTATTTTGCATCCTGTGCGGAAACTGAAAGAACCATCCCTGTGGGCCTCCTGTCTCACTGCGTCCTTCCCCTTTGGGCTGGTTCTCTAGGCTGGACCTCGGATGTGGGCAGGGGCGCAGTGATGGGAAGTGGGGCGTGGGGTTGCAGGGGTGGCTTCGGCCATCCGCGCTGGTTATGGGCTGGTGCTCAGTCAGTGAGTCTTGGAGAGTTGCATCTTGCAGCCTCCCTGAGGATTGAGGAGCAAGCCTTGTGTGAGTTGGCCGAGGGGACAGGTGGGTGTGGTGATCGTAGCCAGTGGGCCTTTCCCCAGCGACAGCCAGCAGCCTCCCTGTCAGAGTCCCACATGGCCTGCGGCTCATTTAGGGACAGGGACACCTGCTTTGCAGGCCCATGTGTCAGGGTGGGACACACCACCCTGATACCACAGTCCCACACTCCAGGCCGGTCCTGCCAGTGCCGGTGCAGGGTCCCTCATGCTCCCGCTGACCTCAGGCTCCCCTTTCCGGTCACCCACCGGCGCTTCCTGAAGCAGGTTCTCGGGACCCCAGGCCTGTGCTTTGCTCTCAGGCCACACAGACTTGCCCGATGCCTGGATCCTCCTCGGCTCCTGTGAGCTCTGAGAAGGCCAGGCTCCAGAGCCACCTGGGAGGAGTGGGGTTGCAGGTGTCTGGCTGGGGCAGTGCCTGCCCCCAGTGCTGGTGGGAGCCCCTCACCCTGGCCTCAGCCCCTGCCCCTCTGAGAAGCCACTGTCTCCCAGACAGGGTGCATGTGCCCCTCGTGGGAGCCTGCCCCAGGAGGGACTCGTGCCCTCTTCCTTTACATAGGGTCTCATCCTCCACTTTCTAGAATGTAGGCCTCCACGTGGGGTCCCAGGCCCCAAGCCTGGGTGTCAGAGCCTTGGGTGGGCCCAAAGCCTGGACTCCCCGGGCCTGCAGGGATTCTGTGGTCACCACCAGTCCAGACTTGAGGCCATGGCCACCGTCTCCTCCCCACCCTGTCCTCAGTGCTGCCCATGTACTGGTCAAAGCCTCGTCTTCACACAGCCCTCTGGGTGGGCTTTCCTGTATAGACCCTGCTGGGACACCAGCGGGTGGGCTCAGTGCTCTCTCCACGCTGCCCCGCTGCAGGGGGCACGGGGGTCCCGCCCTCCTTCCTCTCCCCTGATGCCGGCGCTCCGTTGCAGAACGCCATGCTGCACTGCTCGTGGTGGAGCCCCTTCTCGCCTGCGGCATATCCAGCCTTCTCCAGTGAAAGCCAGTAAGTGACCGGCCACCCCCACCCAGGTCCTACTGGAGGCCACCCCACCTACAAGGGCTTCACTCTGCCTTCCCATCCTGCAGTTATGGGTTAAACAAAAATAGAGCTTGAGGTTGGGGGCTTCAACGTTCTGCCAAGGGAGAGGCAGCTGAGACTGACTTGCTGGGACCTGTCTTAACAAGAACCCCCCAGGGAAAAGGGCAGAGGTAGTAGGGACGAGGGGGCCAGGGAGGACTCCTCTGCAGGGGTGACATCAGGTGGGCAGTGCGAAACCGTAGGGGTAAAAGGAACCTGGAGGACAAACTTCCCTGTGGAGGGCATTGGTGAGCTGGGTTTTGAAGGGTAAATAGGAGTTTGCCAGGGAGACCAGGCCTAGAACCAGGCCAAGGAATGGCCTGTGCAAAAGGCACACAAGCACATGTAGTTGGAGCCTTGAGGTTTTTCCGTGGCGCCGTATCCTGGGATGTGGGCAGTGGCTCCCCTCAACTGAGTTTCTGAGACTCCAGAGTTGTTCCTGAAGGCGGGTGACCCCCACACCTGTCCTGCCTGTGGGGTGGGGAGGGCAGTGGTCCAGCCATGCCCACCAGCTCGCTTTCCTTCTCTGCTTCCAGCCAGTTCATGAACTCCTCCTCCTTCATCGTGGGCCAGCCCTGCGCAGACACCAGCTATGGCCCTGCCGCCGCCAGCCCCAGCTTCCCTCCAAAGAGCAGCGACTTTCCTCAGGTAGGAGACCTCATGTCCTGCAGACCCTGGCACCAGCCCTCGGGACCCCTGCTGCGTCCCAAGGCAGCGCGTGTGAGCTTGGCTGGGCCTGGCACCACGTGGGTCTGTCAGTGCCGGGTGGACGTGGCTTGTTTCGGGGAATAAGGCCTTTCCCAACCTGTCAGAGGTGACTTCCCTGGAGTGGGAACGCTGAGTCAGAGGTCCCATCACCAAGGCTGGGGGCCCGCTCACATTGCGCCGTCACTCTTGTCCGTGTTCAGATTACCGGGCCGCGTCTCGAGTACCTGTTAGCTTTACCCATACCTGGACTGACTCGTCCTGGCGCCCTGACACCTGGGCGGGGGCTGGGCCCCGGGCCAGAGTGATGCCCCGTTGGGTGGAAACACTGTAATGAGTGTTTGTGTCCCCTAAAACCTAACAGCTGATTGAAAAATGTAACCCACTTGAGTGGAAGGAGGGGGTACCACTGGACCTGGATCTCAGGCGGCTCAGCACCCCGGGAGTCAGGAGACCTCCCTTCGCATCCTTGTCCACGGGGCTCACGAGTGGTGCCCGCGTCCCTGCCTCCAGGGCCACAGGGGTGGTCTGTGGTCAGGAGCCCAGTGGTCTGGTGGTAGAGCCTCCACAATTTGGGAGCCATTCCAGGGGGACCAGTGGGTGGTGGGGGTGTCATGTGCTCAGATCCTCTGAGCCTTGGTTTCTTCCTATAAAGTGGGGGCTCATTGGCCCCCAGGTGACAGGCTGTGGGGGACACCGTGCACATGGGCCTTGCAAACCCGCTGGACTTGCTTGGATGAAGATCAGGGCCCCTCAGACCGGCCCATACGCACTCAGCCTGGCCCGTTCTCCACACTGGGGCCTAGCAGGATCAGGCTGAGACCTGGACTGAGGGGTGTATTCTGTGGTGACAGTGTCCCCCCAAATCCAGATCTACCCGGGACCTCACCATCTATGGAGATAGGGTCTTTGCAGGTGTGCGTCGTCAACAGTGGCGCTGAGACCACACTGGGACAGGGTGGCCCTAAACCCAGTGAGGGTCCTTGTGGGATGGGGGAGGAGGGACTGATCCGAGGAGGCATGTGACGACGGAGGCTGAGCCCAGGCGCTGCAGACATGGCCAAGGTTGTAGGGGCCACGAGAGGCAAGGCAGGCCCCGGTGCCTGGGGCGTGCAGCCCCGAAGGCCACAGCGTGACCTGGACGTCTGCCCTGATGGCTGCACGTATCTTGTTGGAGCTGCCCCGTCAGTAACCCTTCTTGGCCGCCCAGGAAGCGCCGCGGCTGGGCCTCGTGGCGATGGGAGCAGAAGGTCTCACCTGCGCCTTGGGAGCCCCGAGTCCCCCAGACGAGGGTGGAGGGCTGGACAGGAGTCCTGTGGACGCCGCCCGCCAGACTCTATGGAAGCATACGCGGTTTCCTCTGCCCACGCCGGTCTGAGAGGACACCCTTGGCCTCCAGCAGAGGAAAGCCCTGTGGGGTTGAGCCTCCAAGGGCACCTGGCCGACGGCCTGGGACCTTCTTCCTGCCTGAGGCAGCCTCTCATCCGCGGGCATCGGCTCGTCCACAGGCTGGATGCTGATCAGGGTTCTGTCCACTGTGTCCCGGACACAACTCTGTGTCCAGATGAGCTCCCCCACTGGCGCGGCCCCTGCTGGACAGATGAAGAAACCGAGACATGTGGCCTGCTGAATCCAGGGCCAGCAGGGGCCTTTGGGGCCCTGCAGCACCCATCTGGCCTTGCTCCCCACCATCCATCTGCACCCACTGCCTCCTGGCTCTGCCAGGAACCCTTGCGATTTCCAAGCTGATAATCCCTTGGGCACCATGTCTGCTTCTCGCAGCAAGTAGGGGAACTGTGCCCAGCACTGTCCATCGTTGGAGGTCGCCGCATCCAGCCCACAAACAAGTGTCAGCTGAATGCGACCATAGCCCACCCTACCCTCCAGCCAACCTTGCTGAGGGTGACTTGAACCCCAGTCTCTCTTCAAATCAGTGACATCTCCAAATGAAATCTCACCCCAGTGCCAACTGTGCAGTCAGACGGACGTGAGACCACAGTTCAGCCAGGGTGAGGGGTCCCGAGGCCCCGTTATCAGCCTTCTCTACCTGCCCTCGGGGACCAAGCCGGGAAGGAGTCCAGAGCAGCCTGGCATCCGAGGCTCTTCCAGCCCAGCCCAGCCCAGCAGATCGGCCACAGATGCCCTCTGCTCCTGTTTCAGATTAAGTGACATTGCATGGTGGCTGGCACAGGGACAGCCCTGAAGACATCCTCGTTCTGGTCCCGGGACCTGTGGACCTGTCTCCTCACGGGGCAGAGGAGATTCTGCAGGTGGGATTAAGTTAAGGCCTGTGAGATGGGGGTGACCCTGGATTCCTGGGGGCCCCATGTCATCACAGGGTCCTCATCAGTGGGAGGCGGGAGGGTCAGAGTCAGAGAGAGACGGGAGATGCTGCGCTGCTGGCGGTGAGGATGGAGGGAGGGGCCGCGAGCCAGGGATGCGGCGCCTCTAGAAGCTGGAAGAGGCAGGAACCAATTCTCCCTGGAGCCTCCGGAGGGACCAGCTCTGTCAACCCGTTTTGGACTTCTGGCCTCCGGAACCATAAAGTAATAAACGTGTGTTGTTTTCAGCCATGAAGTTTGGGGTGGTTTATCACAGCAGGGAGAGAAAACACCCACTGTGCAAAGCCTTCATGTGGCCTGGGGCACGGTCCTGCTCCATGCATCAGGAGTTGGAGTGGAGACTCCAGAGCTGAGCTGGGAGCAGGGAGTGAACGTCAACCCAGCAGCCTTCACGTGCCTCCTGGTAACTAACCTTGAACCCTGAGCTTCCAGCCAAAGCAAAAAGAGAAAGGAGATGACTTACATGACTCCTGATGCCTGCAAGGAGGAGGCTTCTCTCTGATTGCCCTTTGGGGCCTGGAGCAGTACCTGGGGTCCATGCCCCAGCTGGCCCAGGCCCAAGACCGGCGGTGTGGGTTGCGCCAGCCTCCTTACGGGGTCCCTGAGTCACAGGCACCTGGGCAGGGTCTCCAGCCTGCGGGACTCTGCTCCTGGGGCAGCAGGAGGCAAGTCCAGTCCCCGTTCAGTGGCAGCGCTGCCTCGCCAGATGGAACTGGCCGTCAGACCATGCACCTCCCGAGCCCACCCGGAACCTGTGCCCGGGTTCCGGTGCAGGAGGGCAGGCACACTGGGGGCTCATCTGAAAAGTTCGGCTCTGTTGCTCTTTTCTGTGTGTTTGAAGGTTTTCATGACAAAATGGACTTTAAAATTTTATATTTACAGAAAAGGGGCAAAGACAATACTGCGAATTCCCGGTCGCCCTTCCTCACCCAGGTGCCCCGCACGTCACATACAGTGTCGTATGTAGCAGTGAGGAAGCAGCCCCACTGCACCACGATGACCGCCCTCGGGGGCTCCCGTGGGTGCAGGGAGGCCCCACAGCTGTTCATAGGTGCCCCTCAGTGGGGGTTTGCCTGGGGCCGCGCTGAGATGGGGTCTGCGTCCTTGATGGGAGCCCCCCGGGCAGGGCATGGTGTCTGCCAGGCCCTGTGTCAGTGCGTCTTGGCATTGATGTGTGGACCTTGACCCCTGGGAGGGCAGCGTCCGCTTTGTCTCTCCACCGTCCACGGTCCTCCTCTCCTTTCTGCCTTTAGGGTGGCACAGAGCCACTCAGGCTCCCCACCCGAAACAGGCCCACAGGCCCGGTGGGGCCTCCCTCCCCGAGGGTTACTATGCTGGGGGGTGTGGACGTGTGGCTTTTCCTTCACTTTGTAATTTTTAATTGAAGTGTGATTTGCATATCCTATGATTCAGCAGTTTCAGTGCATTCACGGTGTTGTGCAACCATCACCTCTAATTCCAGAACATTCCATCACCCTGAAGAGCAGTCGGTCCCCATTAGCTCTCACCCATGCCCCAGCCCCTGACAGCCAGGAGCCCCCTCCCTGTGTCTGTGGACTGGCTCGTTCTGGATGCCTCACATCCATGGAGTCACACAACTGTGTGTCCTTCTGTGTCTGCTTCTCACTGAGCACCGTGCTCTCAGGGTCCGGCCCAATGGGAGTGTCAGGGCTGCTCTCTTTTTCATGACTGAGTGATGCTCCCGTGTGTGGAGGGACCATGTGTGTTTATGTTCATCTATTGATGGACATTCGGGTTGTTTCTACCTTTTGGCTGCTGTGAATTGTGGTGGTGTAAACTTGTGGGTACAGAGTAGTGTGAATGTATGTTGCAGACATGGCTGAATCTCACTATGAGGGATATTGGGGGCTTGTTGGGGTGAGGTGCTCAGCATCCAGACACCCCCACCCCCAAGACCTTGTACCTCCAGCTCTCGCTGTCCCTACTGGTCCTCCTCTGGCTTCACCCTACCCTGGTTTCTCTGGTGTCCTGGCTGCACGCCCCACCTCCTCCACTGCCCCTTGTGCCCAACCCCCGCCCCCCCACCGCAGCCTCCAGAAGCAGGTGCTGCCCTGACCCCTCCTCCCCAGGCCACCTGGCTGCTAGCGTCCCGGCCAGCCCCCAGGAGGGCCCTTGTCCGTGCGCCGAGCGCCCCCCATGCAGTCAGCCGGGCAGGCGTCTGCCCTGAGGGTCCCTCCAGGCGTCTCAGGTGGACCCCACGTCCACCCGCTGAGGACACTTTCCGTCTGCCAGCCCGGGCTTCTGGGAAGCAGGATGAGGTCACAGCTCAGCAAAGTGCTTTGCAAACTCTCAGCAGCTCCCCACACGGAGAGGGGCGGGCGCGCCGACTGCTCTGCAGACGCATTTCAGCAGTATCAGAGGGCCCGGACCACACCGCCCCAGGGCACCTCCTGGCCGCCCCGGCGCTGGCGGGCAGCGAGCCCGAGGCCGCTTTTCCTAGGAAGCCCCTCAGTTCACAGGGGCCACGGCCCGGTGGGGGCAGGAGCGTGGGCGTCTGAGGGAGGTCTCCATGTGGGAGTTGGGGGACACAGAGGTGAGGGAGGGGCCTAGAGAGGGGACCTGCAGAAAGCCCTGGGGCCA